GAGATCAACTATTTCGCTGGTGATGTGATCAGCCATTATCGCTTGATGTGAGACCAGGCACTACGCTGGTGAAGTGATCAGCCACTATCACTGACTGTGAGATCAGTTATTTCGTTGGTAATGTGATCAGCCACTATCATTGGCTGTGAAATCAGCTATTTCACTGGTGGCGAGATCAGCCACTATCACTGGCCGTGAGATCATCCACTTCGCATTAGCAGGTCAATCACTGCCTGCCTATTGGCTGATCAAACAGACATTCACAGATCGAATACTCTCCGCCCATTGACTGGTTATGCAGTCTCTGTTTAATGGCAGATCAAGAATTATCATTGGCAGATCGACTTTTCGTAAGGTAATCAGGTATTCACTGTCTATTGGCGGACAGTCATACAGTGCATTCAAAGAGGTGTTGATTGTGCTGAATTATTATTGACTCTTACTCACTGGCGCGCTTCCGTGTATTTCATTTTGTCAAATYGCCCTTCGCTYGAGCAAACTTCTAAGTACAAGCCTATGGACAATAATTGTATCTTTAGTCCAACAAATCAGAAAAATTAAAAGACCTTCAAGGGTTGAGCAGATATCAACTTTACGAATCATCCCTGTTCGTTTGGTTCTGGCTTAGTAATGGTTGTTTGACGAGGTGCAAAGGAGAATACTTAAACCCGCTACAGCGGACGCATGGGAGACAGTCGGAACGCTATCCCCTACTGATCGTTGAGGGCCTTGGAAGCGGGCGCAGCGAGTGACAGGCGCTGTTGCCGTTGGCTTCAGCGAACAGTAGGCGCCCCTCCCCGGGTTTCCTCACACCGTGGTCGTAGTGACCGGAATCTGGGCGGGTGCGCCCGTAGACTGAGGGAGGACCTGACTCGTGGCGGTCATCATGCTAGGGGCGTGGACGGTCACCAAGATGGCCGGGTCGGGAACGGCAGAGGAGGAAGTTCCGCTGTGGCCATTTTGTCGGAGAACGGGAGAGCCAGGAGAAGAGAGAGGGTGAGGAGAGGAAGGACGACCAGCGTCCTCGAGTTGCCGCATGCCGACGGCAAGGGTCGCCACTTGCGTCTGTAAGGGCGTGAGGGTCGCGAGTTGCGCCATGATGGGCGAAAGGAGGGAGGTGAAGAGGGTGTGCAGATCCCCCTGGGGCTGGTGGCCCTGGTCCGTCGGCATGGGTGTGGAGCCCTGTGCGGTGGTCGTCGCCGCATCGGCTGCTTGTGACTCACCGTCGGCCATGGGGAGGTGACGAGCCTGTCTGGAGGGGGCCAGGAGAGGTCCGCGTGAGCGGAGGGCATAGGGGGGGTTCCGTGGTAGAAAGCGGCGGACGACGTTAGCAAGGCTAGCGCGGGCGCCGTCAAAGGGGGAGGGGTGGTTCGGGTCCAGGGTGCCCGAATAGGAAGGGGGAAGTAGGGGGGGGGTGAAAAACCCTAAACCCTAGAAAAACCCTAAGAAAACCCTAACCGAAGTTTAAGTGGTTAGGGTAGGGTACCCGTGACCTAATCAAGAAAATAAAATACCAAGCATAGGGGGGGAAGGCGGGAGAAAAATAAATAAACAGCGAGATTTTAAGGAAAAAAAAAAAAAAAAATAGTAAAAATAATTAAGGGAAGAAGTAAACAAAATATGAAAATAAAAATAAGATTTATTTTTTTTGAACTTTTCGGCAACATTTCCATACCCCCCATGGGTTCAAGAATGTGCCAAGGGGGGAAGGAGATACCAAAATAAGCACACTAGGTTTCAAACTGCCGCAAATAAAAAATTTTAGAAAATAAATAAATAAATAAATAAATAATAGATAAATAAATAAATAAGTAAATAAGTGGATGAGGAGGTGGAGAGAAATGGAGTATCTGATTTTTCAAAAAATTTGGCAGCATTTCGTTACCCCCATGGGGTCGAAGTGTGCCGAAAAAGATTAAGAAAAAATCAGAAATTTCGGCAGCACTTTGTTACTCCTACGGGGTCAAAACGTGTGCCGAAAGCAAGAAAGACTAACACCTAATCAGATTTAGGGTTGTCGTAAAGAAAATCAAATTTTCAGAATACATAGAAAAATAAATGAAATAAATCAGAAAATGAGAAAAGAAGGTGGGGAAGAAGATAATTCGAATTTTTGAAAAAAAGAGAAAAGATAAATCAAAAGAGAGATAGAAATAAGAAAAACAGAAAAATTTGAAGTAGGGGGGAAGGGGAATGAAAAAGTGAAGGAGAAAAGAAAAAAATAGGTGGGAGAGAAAAAAAAGATGGAAGTGGAAGGTGGGGGGATGATGTGGTGGTAGTTGGGGGAGAGGAGGGTTGGGGAACGGTGGAGAGGGATCAAGAAGCAAGGAGAAAAGAAGGAGGAAAGAAAAGAAAAGAAATGAAGAAAAAAGAGTAAAAGAGTTGGCGGTGGGAGAAAGTTGGGGTGGGGAAGGTAAAAGGAGGGGAGAAAAGAGGCAGTAGAAGGTGGGGGAAAGAGGAGGGGTGAGTAAGAGGAGAGAGGAGAGGTAGGGAGGGTGGGTTAGTGGAGGGAGGGGAGAGAGAGAAGTGATACTTGGCCCTTGGTGTCTCCAAGGGCACAAGGTACACCAAGACCAGGAGGGTCTTGGCCTTCGCTGCAGCAAGCCAGCTGGAGGAGAGAGGGGGCTGAGATCTTGATCAGCCCTCAATAGCAGTTCTGCAAATCTGCAGATCTAGGGTCTGCTGTGGGAGCAGACCCTCACCACTGTAGAGCAGCCCCCTAAGCAGGGGGGTTCTTGAGTTCCACCACGAGCTGCCACGTGGCAGTAGAGATGACCACGTGCACACGCAACAGCAGCCAACGGGGGGGGAGGGCAAATAGCAACCCGCCCGTTGCTGCTCGCTGCTCGCCGACGGGAGGTGGGGGGGGGGGGGAGTAAATAGCCAGCACGACACCTCTTCAACACGAGTGTGCCGTACTATAGGACCATCTACACCTGTCTCTTATACACATCTAGATGTGTATAAGAGACAGAGCGGGGGGGGAGTAAATAGCCAGCACGACACCTCTTCAACACGAGTGTGCCGTACTATAGGACCATGTACACTCTGTGGCGAGTGTGTTATCAAGGTGCTTACGCATGCGCATGGCCCAGCAGGCGCTTGGGTTCAAACCCCAGCAACAGCAAAAATCCTGGATCTTGATAATGTAAATCCGGGAGCGGAGCGGGGCGGGGCCGCGTGGCGTGCGGCGGCCTTGGCCTTTTCGCCACGTGTCACCGAACACCCGAAATGTCACCGAACACCCGAAATGTCACCGAACACCCGAAAAACAGCGAACAAACCCGTTGTCGGGTTTGCTGTTTTCCCGGCTGTACGGGGTGGTGGGTGGGAGCGGGAAACGTTCCCGCTCCGATACCAATGTGGCGAACCCACCGGGAAGGTGCTCTGCCTGGGATGAAGATAGAGATGGAGGATGAGGTAGGAGCGAGATGGCACAACGCAGCTCCCACGCAAGACTCCAACGCACGTACTCCAAAATCGTGCAAGTGTAGAATGATCTCGAAAACAGACAACTGCTGGGGTATACCCCAGCGGACTGACGGGACTGGACTGGACTGGCTGGTATCGACAGAGGTACCAAACACAGGCCTGTGAGAACAGGCCAAGGGGCTGGTCTAGCAGGCCAACCAGAGGTCCGCTACAAACGGCCACACATCCATAAACAATACCAGTTGTTAGATTATAATAGGGAGGCCTCAATAAATAGAATAAGTTGTTCTCGTCCAAGCTCAAGTTTGTGGCCACTTACCCACTGTTATCTGCACGCGTTGCAGCTCCTGTTGTTCTCATACATGGTTGTAGTAAGCCTTCGTACATTTCCGAAATTTTCGAGGTGCGAGGGCCTAGGGTCGAAGGATGCGGTCATGATGTCCTGAGCCACCCTGAGGAGAAATTCTGCCCCATTCACTGAGTAAACAATTGCTATTCTGAGTGGATAGCTGCGTACTTCTCCATAACCACCATAGATGGACTATGGTGGGCGGGTGACATTCCAGTTACCTGAAAATTACTGAGATGGATTACCGTAACCTAGTCCGACAGCTGCTTCGAGCGAGGCGCTAACCATCGCCGAAAGCAGCGCTGGTAACATTGCCGCACCCGGTAGGGCCTGTTCCCCCGCTAATCCTGGCGCTGTATCGCAACGGCGATTAGCGCAGAATTAGCGAGCTCCTCCGGCCCCGCCCCGCCTCGGCCTGTCCTTTTCCTTTGAGCTCTTCTTCGTCTTCCCTACCGCCAAGCCTGGCCTGTCAGCACAGAACAGCTTTCCAGCGTCTTCGTTGCTGCACTGAATCGCACGCCAAAGCCAAAGCCATGCCTGCGCTGCTGTTGCTCTGTTTCGCGCCAAAATGCCCGCCCCAGGGCCCATCGCACGTGCTATAGAAAACGCAGCCGCATCATCTGTGCTGTTGGTGGCCTGAGCAGCGCGAGGCAGGAATGTGCCTCACTCAATTGGTAGACCTACGAACTGTTCAAATACGATCCAGAGTTCAAATCCCGAACAGGGATGGGTTTGTTGCACTCCTTGTCCGTCTTTTTATGAGGAAAAGAAACAGAGAAGCGCAAGTCTTGGTGTGTCTGCCGGGGGCGGGCGTGTTTTGCCCGGCGGGTGTTCCTCGGGCGTCCCGGAACGCTGGCGCGGTACCGAGCCTCTGGTTTGCTTTGAACTTCTTGGTTCCCAAGCCAGAAGGCACGGGCACCTCGAACGTGGCGGAACGTTGGCGCGGCACCCGGCCTGGTAGCTTGCGCTTTTCTTCGTTGCCGAGCCAGAAGGCGCAGGGAAAGCCGTCCGTACATGATACCGCAGCTTTGTCTGGCGCCACTGGCGGCAGTTGTGCCAGTGTCGAGTCAGGGAGAGTTCAGCGGTGGCAGCTCACGTTCTCAGCAAGAGGAGAATGTGGTGCGAGGGCGGCGACGGGAGCGGGACAACGGAATAGGCAAGCACAGAATTCGACGACGCGTGTTTTGCTGTCCGTCCGCGCACGCGCGGGCAATAGAGCGGCATTCCACTAGAGTTTGGCACGGGCGCAGTAGTCTGGGTGGGTGTTTTTTTGGGTGATTGACGCCGACCAACGACGATTCGAGCAGGAGGAGACTCGAATCGAGCGCGTCACGCAAGGACCGAGGAATCGTGCCATGCAGATTGTGGCGGGTGAATCGTATGCTCGGCGATTCTGTTGAGGGCGGGAAATTCGACGCATCACGAAACGAATCACGGAAAGTGCGTCCACAGCTCGCACGTGGGGCTTGTGCGGCAAGAGGCGGGTTGACTGGGGCGTGTACGGTAGCGAGGACGGGGGAGGAAGAAGAACGAAGACCCAAAGGAGAGCAGGACAGAGTGAGAGAGAGGTGATGGTGGAGGAGAAGAAGGAGAAGAGGATAAGTAAGGGGGACAAACTTGGTGATGGCCATGATTTACTGTAGCACCACGAAGATTAGTAGGAGGATCGAGGGTAATATTAGTATTGTACAGGACATGGCGCTAAGGGGCTAGAAGATGAGCCCTGCGAGCGGGAGGGGAAAATCAGAGGGGGAGCTAGGAGCGTCAATGTTGCAAGTAGATGTCGAAGAATAGAGGACTGAGGGAGCGGAGAGCAGACAAAGGGTTGTAGGAGGTGGAGCAGTGGTAGTAGTAGTAGTACTAGCAGGAGGAGGAGGAGGAGGGAGGAAGGGGGGGAGGAGAGAAGGAACAGCTGAGCGAGAGCGAGAGCAACGTGTGGTGCAGTGCGGGGCATCAATGCCGTCATCCAGGTTCATCGAATATTTTGTCGTATGTGGGCTTGGCCCTGACATCACGACGCTATGGGAGCGGAGGAAAGGCTATTTTGGGATAAACGATGGGCGACCCGTACAGTATGCACCGGCCATGCTGGACCAGTTTCCTCCCGTCAATCATGCCGATGGCAAACCCCCAGACCTCCTTCCACTGGTACGTCGCCTTTCGCCCCTGATTGTTCCCTCTGTCTCTCTCTGTGTCTGTCTGTCTCTCTCTCTCTCTGTGTCTCTGTCTCTGTCTCTTTCTTCCCGTCTGTTTCCTTATTTTCTCTGCCTTTTCTTTCTTGCATCAGCATTAAGCTCTCCATGAGATAAAGAGCTTCAGGATGTTGGAAATCTCTCTCTCTCTCTCTCTCTCTCTCTCTCTCTCTCTTTGTGCGCCCCTCTTTCTTTGCGTCTCTCTGTCTGCCTCTCTTTCTCTGTCTCTCTGTCTGCTTTGCTCTCATGGGCAGGAATCAGCCAGAACGCTTTCTGCGGGCATTCTGCAGGACGAGATGCGGCGGAACAGATGGAGAGAAGTGCGTTTGACCCTCTTTTTGCTTGGAAGGGAACCTGCCCTTCTGCGCTTGCGCAATAGCTGCTACTTATTGCTACTCCATCACTCGCCTTCCCTTCCTCTCTTGCTCCCCCTCTTTCTCTCCCCCTCTGTACGTGTATCTTCCTCTCTTTCTCTCACTTACGTACGCGCGAAGGCCGTTCTCAGGTAATGTGACTGTTCTCACGGCTTTTCTGCCCGCCGAGTGGCACCACTCTGAAACCGCTGTCGCGTGCCTTTTTCTCTCTTTCTCTGTGCCTCCTCTCCCTCCCTCCCTCGCTCTCTCTCTCTCTCTTTGTTGCTCTCTCTTTCCCACTTCCCTCGCTTATCGCATCGGCGGAACGTGGCAAGTACTCACTGTTCCGTCAGTGTTTCGTCAGGTGTTGTCTCTGTACTACCCACCTTTCGCTACCCTTTACCGGGCAAGCGTCTGGCTCTTCACATCTTGTGACCGACGTGGCAGAATTCTAAGAAACTCTTCTTTCCCGTGCGCAGAGACTGTCATACAGCTAGCAACTTGTAAAGTTCACTTCGCCAGGGGGTGAGAAGGCTTTCTGAAACACCCTCTTGCCTGCTCTCGCTCCATCAGGGAAGCAATGCCTGCAATATATTATTGTTTCACCTAGAATTTTCTAGCAGACATAGCTGTACCGACAGTCACGGGGAAAGTCGGGTCAGGGACGCGCATCGGATTTCAGCACCCTGCCCGTCATCCCACGTTCTCACTCAAGACGACGATAGGACTTCTAAGAGCATACTCACATTCGTACACTTTCGCCAGAATCTGGGCATGTTTCCGGTCAGAGACATCCCAGAAAGAAAGTACTGGTGTGAATATGCCCTAAGTAATTGTTGGCCGCGTGTAAAGACGATGTGAAGATGAGAAGCCAAAGGGGAGATTTCACGCACGGCGGAGGCTTGATTGGGGGTCTCGTACAGTCGACGACAGGGAGGTTCCCTCTACGCTACGAAATCTTTGCGCTCTCTCGTTCCCAAACACATGACAGTTTTTTCTGAACTTACAGGGGAACAACCTTTCGAATTACTTAACCTTTCAAGAACAGAAAGGGTTCGAACCTCTTTGCGCTCTCTCGTTCCCACTGTAAGGTTCGAACACTTTCTGTTTTTGAAAGGTTAAGTAGCATGAACCTTTCAAAAAGAGAAAGGGTTCGAACCTCCCTGTCTTCGACTTACTTAACGTTTCGACTTACTTAGCCTTTTCGAATTACTTAACCTTTTCAAAAACAGAAAAGGTCTACCTGCTTGATCAACGTAGCATTAAGCAATCACGGCAGGCTTAGATAATCGCCACCCGCAAAATAGGAAAATCCCTTCCTCGCTCTCCCTATCCCACAACGGTGTAGAATACGTGAGACGACAGATGAACATACTGCATATACATAGATGCTTATAACTTGTAAATGGGAAAGAGAGATTGACGAATACAGATTGAGAGGGCCATATACTACCACATGCTACTGCGCAAGCTGCTGATGAAAATATGCCCCTGATGGCTCTTCAGAGTCTCAGGGCAAATTGAGTATATAGTGGACTGGAATTGAGGTGATAATAGACTAGAGTAGTAGTTTGGTCTTTCACGTATGGCACTTGCTCAAGGAAACAAAAAAGAAAAAGAATTGGTCGGGGACGGGGGGCCAACGGCGCCCTCGATTTCTGTATGCCCATGTCCCGGCGCTTCCCGTCTCCTCCGATTACACGCGGAGGATAATTTCGGTATAGCTGGTGCGCCACCACTTGCGGGACTGTTTTGGTTGCCTGGGATCACTCAAGAAGGCGCACACTTTTTGTTTTGGTCTTTATTGGGGGAGGGGGGAAGGGGGCATGATTAATTCTCATTTTTTACCGGGAGCTTTTGATGATCGATCTCTCAAAGCGAAAGCAATACTTACTCAAGGTGGGAAAAAGCAAAAGCCGTAGCTTCGCAGCTAAAGAAAGGTTAATCACTACAATTGTACTCGCGGGGGGGGGAGGGGGAGGCGTATGATTGGATGATAGATTGAACGCTTGGCGGCATGATCTAATCAATCAATGGCTTTCATTACCTAGTTTGTCTGAAACCTGTGGCGAGCGTTGATTTTTTTTTTCCTTCTTTTTTCCAATCAAAAGGGAAATTTGAGGCGGTATGTTGGAAGCGTATGTTGACAGCATACATTTTTTGTTTGTGCGGGATGGAAATGAATTGTCGAAATTCTGCGCCCTTTTTTCTGCTAAAAAATCTAAGTGAAAGAAAAAGCATGTGCTCCAAAAGTGTGAAAATAAAAGGAAGAAACCCTTGAAGAAAGAAAGAGAGTAAATTGCTTGCCTGTGTACTTGTTGCGCCGGTTTTGCACCCAAACGTCCAGGCGGAGGATGATCGGTCCGTCCTCGAGTGAGGGTCATGGATGCAGTTGAGGTGGGATTTTGTCTGTGTGTTTGCGCGGAGGGTGAGCGTGAGAGTAATGGGGTAGGGGTTTTTCGTGGTCCACTTGCTGCCTGGGGGAGGAAGTTGGTAGCGGGGACGGTGAAACGCGCAATCGTTGGGAATGGAGGATTAGCTTGCCAATGCACGACTGCCGTTCGTGCCCCCTAGTGTACTTTCTCTGAGGGAAAAAATGAGCATCAGCTGTCAATAAGAGTACCCCTTCTAATCAATGGAGCTGTTTCAGTACCTCTTGGGCATAATGGAGGGAAGCGTGAGTGCGTCGTTATCGAAGGGACGCTTGGACCCGGTTTCCGGCAAATACTACTACAGTTTTTGTTTAGAAAAACGGAAAGAGCGGTCATTCCTCACGTTGGATTGTTGCCCAAAAAAACTGGCCGGGAACGCTATCGAATTTATGTCTCGGAAAGCTGCTTTGAACGGTTGTGATTGAAAGAGAGAGAGAGAGGGAGAGAGGGGGGGGGAGCGAGCGAGAGAGAGCGAGCGAGCGAGCGAGAGAGAGAGAGAGAGAGAGAGAGAGAGAGAGAGAGAGAGAGAGAGAGAGAGAGAGAGAGAGAGAGAGAGAGAGGTCTTGTTAACATTAGGGTTGCCAGGTATTTGATGCTTCGAGTGGGAATTAAGACCCGATTGCAACCGGGGGGTGAAAGCGATAATCAGCCCGCGATATGCACAAAGACAAAATTTCTGTTTTCCCTCAATTTGTCTTATAAAAGTGAGAAATTGCCGCGATAATCGGCCCGCGATATGCACAAAGACAAAATTTCTGTTTTCCCTCAATTTGTCTTATAAAAGTGAAAAATTGCCGCTCTCGAAGTATAAAGCTCACTTTTTTGGAACTTGACAGAAACAACCCGCCTAGGATGAAATTCCGTTAAGTCAAAACGATAAACAGCCGCGTGGGAGGATGCACGCCACAGGTATTTGAATGTTCTTTCTAAATGATCGTTTCCTAGAAAGAACATTAGCAGGAGTGGAGGGCAAGTAGCCTTCCCCCTTGTGTCCGTTCTCAAGAGTGGGAAAAAGGAAAAAAGGCGAACCCCAACAGGAACAAATTTGAAGAAGGAAGGACGGGGGGAAGGAGGAATCTTTTTTTTAGTTCTTTTTTTTTAAATGGCAAGCCTATCTTTGGCTCTTTTAAAAAAAGAATAGAACGAATGGCGCCTATGATCACCTATCTGAAATCGAACAGATTCTCAGACTGCAGCTAACACTCCTTGGGAGGAAAACAGTCCAAAAATGAAAGCAGGCAGCTTTGCAAGAGGTAAATGAAATCCGCCTGTCAAATGAAGTCCTGCTTTGCCTTATGTTTTTTTTTTTCCGATCCTCCTACTCTCTGTAACGAGCAGAGAGGCCGTGAAAGCCATGGAGAATACTGAACTTTATTAGAAATAATCTAGGCTACCAGAGTGGCCTGAGAATACTGAACTTTATTAGAAATAATCTAGGCTACCAGAGTGGCCTGGGACCACTTGCCCTGTCGGGCCAAAAGAAGATTAAAATTTTAAAAAATTAAAAATTATTATTTAATTTGACTTTTTATTTTAAATTTGGTAAAGAATTTTGATTTGACCCTGAGGCAAAAGTTGTACAGTTTATTTTTCTGTGTAACATAGTTTTTTTGGGGATGTTTTTGATTTTTTTTTTGTTTGCGAGGACCTTCCCTGGTCCTTGCACGGCCGGGTCGCCCGGGAAAATAGGGTGACGCGTGCGGCCCGGCTGGTAGCCCAGAAAATAATATAAGTTGTCGACTTCCTCATGTTAATCAGCGTGTGGCGGAATGTTACATCCCTGCTTTCTTTTTTCAGGGCTTTCCCCTTCCACCGCCCCCCCCCCCCCCCCCCCCCCACACACACACACAATTCCCCGCCCTCCCCTAGAAAGCAGATCCTATCAGAATGTTTGGTGCTTGCTTTTCTTTTTTTTTTCTTAATTTAATTTGTTAGTCCTTAAAAACCATTCCTTTCTTCTGCAATCAGACTCGCTTTCAGTTCCACCTCACACTGGCGCAGGGCGCCCACTCAAAGCTTAGAGATATGGAAATCAAGAACACAGTTCAGATGCAAGTTCTCTTCAACAGGCTATGGCGCATCGGCGCCTGAACATCCCAACCTTCGTCACTGTGTCCAAGCCCACTGTTCAAACACGCTCACTCTGGATCACCCTGAATACCACCACCACA